GGGGGGGGTTATTAATGTCATCTCAACATTAAACCCTAAGCCCTAAACCTATTCTATCTGCTTAAGGGGGACTATATGATGAATCCCTCAAAAAGCCTGCATGAACACTGGCAGCTCTTCTACAATCATTGCTATGAGGCCCAGGCCAGCTCATCGAATACCTATGTCAGGTCTTAGGGTTTAGGGTTGAGGGTTTAGGGTTGAGGGTTTAGGGTATAGAGTTTAGGGTATAGGGTTTAGGGTTCAGGGCTTAGGGTATGTCAGTTGACACTACTACAGTATCACAGAATGGCAGTTTCCGCACACAGGGAGTCACAGACAGCTGTTGAGTGTCCTAACCCGATATGAGCCCTTTCAGGATTGAAGTGGTCCAAGGACCCAAACAGTAGGGTTTTAGGGCCCAAATACTACAATATTAATGGTATTTGGGCCCTAAAACCCTCATATTTGGGTCCTTGGACCCTTAGGAAACAGAGTACCAAAAAATTACTTCATGGAACCGCTGAAACCACGTTTGCAGCCAAAAGTGCAGCTTCATGGAACTGCTTGTTCGTGGTCCCTTCTTTGAAGGTCATCTCAGCAGTCCCGTCCAAACGTGTGAAGATCCTGTGGTCAGGTTTAGGGTTTAGGGTTTAGGGTGTAGGGTTGAGGGTTTAGGGTTTGGGGTTTAGGGTTTAGGGTCTAGGGTCGATCCAAAGCCCTAGCACTTTGCAGCATGCTGCTGTCTGCACGTGTCTGGATGCTAAAGCCGATAGTAGTTTCCATTTTCTTTTCAAGTATCCCCCAATATTACCCTAAACCCTAAACCCCCAAGATTTACCCCATGCAGCCCCACCTTTCCCACATCTCATTGGGTTCTGGAGCTGGTGCGGACCAGAAGTCATTGTCGGTGTCGAGGGGAAAGACAAAGACATACTGCCATCGCCTCGGGTTTAGGGTTTAGGGTTTAAGGTTTAGGGTTTAGGGCTTAGGGTTTGCAACACGAAATTCAACATTCACGTGTGCACCATATGATGATGTTTCTACAGTTCAATCCAAAGCTGATGTAAAGCGCGTGTTCCCAGTTCTGAGCACTCGACTGGCTGTTGTCAAACATCCTCCATCCGCATATTTCCTTAGCTGTGGACAGGAACCAACCACCCCACCCCACCCTAATATTAAGATACTCCAAAGATATTATAAATATACCACATAACTGGAGTATTCAATATTAGGGGGGTGGGGTGGTTTAATCTTTAGACTGGTGTCAATCACAGCTTTACACATCCAGTCCTTCCCAAGCTATTCAACCTGGCGTCAGTGAACTGTTTAGCGATTTCCGGTTTAGGTTGTAGGGTTTCGGGTTTCCACTCTATTCAGGGCATGTAAACCCGGATATATTGTAACCTTTAGCAAAAGGACTCCTACAAAGGACCCACAAATTTCAGAAACTCCCATTACCCTTAACCCTTAACCCTAAACCCTAAACGCTGAAACTCCCATTTAGCCGGAGCTCAATGGAGCTGCTGTCAACCAGCTCCCTCGTTTCTGACTTTGCGGATATCGGAGATGGCGCCTCAGGCTTTAGGGATTTTGGGGAGTAATGGAAAAGAAAATGGAAACTACGGGGATTATAGGGGTTATCGGGGTTTGTATAGGGGTTATAGGGAACAAACGCGGCCAAACACCAGTGATGCCCAAAACCAGTGATGCCAGCACAGGGCTTTCCAAGTGCACTGCAGAAACTGCCATGATGCAACTATAATTCACAGCTGAACACAGCAACTGTGCTTCTGAACGAGGTGATCATTACAAGCGAATATATTCATCCACAAGACTCGTCGAAGTTCGACACTGCAAGTTGCCTGCGTTGCCATGTCATCTTGCAGCAGACATGTCCGCACGGCCCAGTCTTCCACGCGCCCTAGCAATAGGCCTCTTGTCTTAAAGGTTTGGAAGTCGACCAAAGCTAGCACAACACGGTTGTAATGACACACACAGGTCATTTTCAACAGGTGATGAAAAGCGCGTGCGCTTATACCGTAGTCTCTTTTTGTTGAAATCTGCTCTCTCTCCTTGACCCCCCCTGGCTGGCAATCAGCATTGCCTATTTGCTGAACAATTGTTGCACCTAGCTGCACGCCAAAAAATATAAATAATGACTGCCTAGGTAGCATGGACTTCACCCTAAACCCTTAACCCCAAACCCGAAATCCTAAACACTAGATCCTTAACCGCTTCATGGCATCATGCTTTCTGCGAAGAGGCTACCTACATATGAAACACTGCGGAAGGCATGGGCCGGGCTCAACATGAACTTCCAACATGCGGCGTGCTTAAGTTTAGGGCTTAGGGTTCAGCCTCACTCTGAAGAACTCATGCCTGCTTGCTCTTATGCACCAGAGACTTCGATGTCCAGGTTCAACAAAAATGTAACAAGATCTCGGACGCAGATATTGGGAGAGACCTTTGAACCTAAAAACCTGAAGTGTTATTATCGGATTCATGCGAACCTTATTTCTAGAACTCCCATCCTTGCATTGATATCCCATCCTCGCATATATCCATATTCTTACTAGCCTGACGGAGATGGCCTCTCTTACTGGTGTTGCCGTTATCACTGCTATTTGTAGTGCTACTAAAAGTCCTTTCACTGCTATGCCTACTAATCCTACAGCTTCGAAAAGTGCTTCTATTGCTCTAGTATGACTGCTGCTAAACTTCAAGCGTAATTCTTACTCTAAGTATCGCTCAAGCACATTTTTACCCCCTCTGTCTAGGGCATGGCCCTTCGTGGCATCGATTGCGTTGAGGCCTTCATGGGGCTTTGGCTTCATGGCCTTCATGCCATGAGCCTTGCTTTCCCAGAAAGCCGAGAACATACTGCTGATAGGAAACCTGGTACAACTCAGGTTTCACCACTGTAGTTCCTACAAATTGTGAGGCTCAGGGTGCTGCAGGCTTTCCTCCATCAAGTGTGGTAGTGTAGTATCAGCAGTAGAAATCATAAACTTGTTCGACGGAGATTCCTCTCTGATGGCATGCCCTCATGGTTGAGAGCAAGTAGGGAACATCAACTGAAAGAGCCCACTGTGTGGCTGGCGGCCCTGGCAAGCCGTCTGTTGGATACGCAAATTGCGCTACAACTTCACATCCTGCCAGATTGGAAAGCTTGCTGCTGAAACTGGCGTCATTAGATCTGGCTGAAACCTTAACTTGCACCACCTTTTGCCCGGAGATCTCAAGGACCGTCATGTTCTCATCTTTAGCAAAGATCTTGCAAATGTCGGTGAGGACCTCCACATTTTGCGGTACGAAAGCTGAGCGTGTTGCTGACTGCATTTTAGAAAATCATACACACACAAACACACCTTTCCGACCCCCCTCAGGAAGGACCTTGAAGGTTGGAACCTTCATAGTGAATAAGCCTGCCACAGGACATGCAATATCCGTGATCCGCTCATCAAGCTTCTTCCAATCCACTTCCTGGGTTGCTGTTGAGGAACTTAACTCAAGTTACCATAATGGGTACATGTGTATATATATATACATTTATATGGTTTCCCCAATACAGTAGCTTAAATGAAGTTCCTTACCAGCAACCCAGCTTCTGGTGCATCTCTTGGGCGCAACACGACCAGTTGTTCCACGGCTTGTGCTTCATCGTAACTTTCACCGAACCCCCAGCTGGAGGGGATTGAAAGCAGCGGCCTTGCAAGCAGCTTTATCTGTGCGAAAAACAAAGCCATGATGATTCCAGGCACCAGGGAGGTCACAAAGGCCATGCTTCCGAAGGCTTTCTTCATGCCCAGCTTTCGCTGCACGATGCTCGATTCTTGAAAGAGAACGTCGAAATAGACCTTCATGAATTGAACATATGGGAAGCGGTACCAGGGCTCTGTTTCCAGACTCTGGCCGAAAATCTGCAGAATCTCAACCTGCATCCATTCGTTGAGCTTGTACCAGGTGTACCTGGATCTCACAGAATTGAGACCAGACACATTCAGGATGCATAGACAGGCAAAGGCACGCATGTATGCGCACATTTTTAAACTCGAACACTGATCAGCGTAACACACGAAACCTTCTTGCTGAACCAAGCTGCTCCCCATCATGAACATGCAAATCTTCAGTCCATCCACTCTTTCCTTGCTGATTGGTGGTAGGGAATGAAAAATGGAAAATGACATGGAAGCGGTTTGGAGCTTGGGGTTCATGGAATGGAAAAGAAAATGGAAACTTCTGTGTTGCTGGTGATTGTGTAGGGGCCACTATTAGGGAGCGATTCCTCCGGTTCCATACTATGGTGGGTACTAAAAATCCTGCATGATGACAAATACTTTATGCCCCTGGGAATTATAGCACTGCAGTACAATAAGGCCATGCCGGATTTGCCGTATCACCGGCAACCCTAAACCCTAAACAAATCACTAAGTTTCGAAGCCGCTCCAAGATGGCAGTAACTCTGGGCAAGAGATCTTCAGGGGCAAGAACCTGGGTTGTTGTTAAAAGGTTTTTTCTAAAGTGCTAGGCTGAGGAAACCCCGTACTTACTATATACCCCTATTAGGGAAACTTAATTTAAGCTCCTTAACAGCATCCCAGGAACATTGCTGCTTCTGTATCTGAGTTTGAAGACGCGGGAGTTTCCCGTAGCCACCCTCCGGAGGCTATCTGCAGCACCACCCACTCCAACCACTCCAAATTCTCGGCATAGGTTTAGGTTCTGAAGACCTTGGATGACAAATGGGGGTTTCCTAAAACTGGGGGGTGCCTTCTTGGGGGTTTCCATGATAAGGATTCTGGTATTTTGGGGTCTATATTGGGGTCCCCCTATTTTTGGGAAGCTACCAGATCTCCCTGGAATCATGAAACCCAATATTAAGTTTCAAGTCCGCGTTCAAGACACCTGCCCAACAGCAGATGAAAGTCTGAAAGCTGGCTGCAATCGTGTGTGATCCGGAGAAACTGCAATATACTACCATATACTGTGACATACTAGAATATACAAGAATATATCATAATCAACTATAATATACGATGATGTACTATAATATACTCTAATATACTCTAATATACGATAATATGCTATAATATACTATAATTATGATGTACTGCAATATGCTACAGTATACTGAGCAAGGCCCAGTTTGACAATCATATCTTGATATCTTGAACGCAACATGGGGTTTGCTCAAAATGCTCAGCAAAATCAGGGTTTAGGGTTTAGGGTTCCCTTCTACGGAGCCCCGAAATGTCTCTGTAACCTGTTCAGAAGTGGGCATTCCTTCCGCCCCCCCCCCCTATATTTTGAGATACCTCATAAGGCTCTGGCGCAGAGCTGCCGCTGTAAAGTGCTCATGTGCAACAAAGAAAGTTGTTTTTAGCTCTTCGTATGAGCTACCAGTCGATATTTCCAAAATAATTCGCTGAGGCTTTTGTTTGGAACCGACTTCAAAACCCAAAACCCTTCTACTCCCCCTTGCTGACCACCCACAACCCTGGCCACTTCCCATGCCCCCCCCAACCGCCCCCCGCCTCCCTCCAGTGGTGGGCGGCCCAGTCAAGCCCCACCGTCAACAATTAACTTCCAGCCCTTGAGAGCTTTGGGGTGTGGGTCGGTGAGCATTTCTTGGACCCTCTTGCCCCTCCCATCCCAAATATGATCTGCGAGGTATTTCTGTGCACAACAGACGGGGCGGGTGCGCGATAGCGTTTACAATTAATGGACATAAGTTCCGTAGTAACCCTAATATTGGCAGTAGCTCATATTGTAGACACTACCGCACAGAGGAGAACTTAAGCTTACCGTACAATGGGGACTATAGAATCCCCATCGCCAACACCAAAATTTTGACCCATTACTTCGAGGGTCAGGGGAACTTAGTAACTAGGTTAATAATGGGGATACTTAGGGTTACCATATGGGTTATAGGGGTTATTAACCTACTTACTAAGTCCCCCTGACCCTCCAACTGACAAAAATGCTGAGGGACGCAGCCTGCCATTGCCAATTTGGACCATCCTTCGAACCTGCGCTGTGACGTCCTTTGGCGCTGCCGTGAGGGAAGAGTATCCAAAGGACGCAGAGTGGACTTCGGCAATGTCACCTCGTTTAGGGTTAAAGGTTTAGAGTTTAGGGTTAAGGGTTTAGGGTTGCGGGTTTAGGGTTACGGGTTTAGGGTTTTTCGTGCTTCTTCGCTGGACATGGATCAGACAAGGTCGTCAAGGCATGTGTCGCCCTGATATCCTAGCAAACACTCCACTCTGACCGGAACTTCCACAAGGATGTAACTCATAGTAGTAATGGTTAAAATGATAACAACAACAAAAACCATACAAATAGTACTAAGAATGATCCTAATAATGTAATAGAGGAAATAGTGGCAAGAATAGCCGTAATCATCATAGCAATAATAGTACGGGTATTAGCAAGAATAACAGTAACACGAGTGATAGTAAGAACAGTAGGAACAGCAGCTACAAAAATAAAGCAGAAACAATGTAGTAATAATCATAATAACAGTAGTAGAAATCATAATAAGAGTAACAATAACAATACAATTACAGCAAACACAAAAAGCTTCTACCAGAAGCCCCAAGTCAACTGCTTAAAGTGGTGCTATAACCTGAGGGTCATAGAGGGGCTGTGTAAGGATTATGGAGGATTTTCTATCCCCACAATTTGTGTAACCTAGGTAATCAAATTTATGCTTAGTGTGAAATAGCCAGTCACAAATGTCATGCTGTCGCCCATCAACCATCTCGACATCTTGCAGCCCCGGGATCAGCCCAGCTAGGGCTCTTTGCAGGTTCTGCTTTTGTTCAGCTTCCGCCGGGCTTCTCACAGGCGCTGGCGCTACCTTGCAGGAAACTAAACCCTAAACCCTTGACCCTAAAAGCTTTAACCTGACCCCTTTAACCTGACCCCTTCACCCTAAATTCTTAACCCTAAACCCTGAACCCTGACCCCTTCACCCTAAACCCTGAACCCTTAAAACTAAACCCTTAACCCTGACCCCTTCACCCTACACCCTGAACCTTAAAACCTAAACCCTTAAGCCTGACCCCTTTACCCTAAACCCTGAACCCTAAACCCTAAGCAACCCCACTTCCACCGACAAAGGCTTGTTATCGGGGTTTAGGACTGGTTTAAGGAGTCCTTGGGGACCCTGGGGATATACAGGATTAGAGGCGAATTATGGGGCCTTATGGGGGACTGCATGGGGATTATGTTGAGAAATTTCCAGTTGATTCCGCAAACAGGATATCCTGCATATTCGAATGCAGAAACAGCACGGCTGCAAACCAAGCTGCCACACCAGAAGCTTGTTGGGTTTGCGGGCCTCTTCGCAGCTCTTTTGCCGCTCGGTACAGGACCGGTAGCTGCTTTAGCCCCATGATGTCCTGGGCTGCTGTTGAGGAACTTAAATAAAGTTACCCTAATGGGTATATATAATAATTCATATAGTTACCCAACCCTAAACCCTAAAACCCTATATATTCCTACGTACCCCTATATAACTACCCCCTATATACCCTTATCACAGTAACTTAAACTGAGTTCCTTAACAGCAACCCAGTGTCGCACATGGTCAGCGCCGCGCTTCGCAGCTGCACATGCGGGGATCCAAGGAAGGCTCTTAAAGCTCGAGACCAGGACGTGTCTGGACTGAAGAAGTTCCTGGGTTGCTGTTAAGGAACTTAGTTTAAGTTGCTATGATAAGGGTATATAGGGGGTAGTTATATAGGGATATATAGGAATATATAGGGTTTTACGTTTAGTTTAGGGTTAAGGAATTTAATCTAATCCATACTATCCCCTTATAATGGAGAATCAAATGAAAAAGAAAATCGAAAATGAAATGGACACTGTGGGCATATAGGGTCTTAAGGAACTGAATTTAAGCCACCATATTGGGGAAACCATCTTAATTGCCATATATAACCACTAGGGTAGCTTACCTTAAGTTCCTCAACAGCAATCCAGGTTCTGCATATTGGGCGGCTCCCACTTTTGAACAGCCTCCAGGAGCCCCGCCCTGAACTCAATCCACGCTTCTTCGTCCAAGTAGGTGGCCAAAAGCTCAGACACTTCCTGTGTTTAGGGTTTAGGGTTTAGGGTTTGGGTTTAGGGTTTAGGGTTTGGGGTTTAGGGTTTAGGGTTTAGGGTTTGGGCTTAGGGTTTAGGCTACAATTAAAGAAAATAAGTATTATTGACATTGGGCACAGGTAACCATGAAAATGTAAAATTTGGTTCTACAAGAGCCCAGCTTCACTCACGTTGGAGATGTTGCCCATCTGCGAGACGAGTGCCTAAGCAAAAGCAGAAGGATCAACATACCTGAGCTTGTTGTTGTAATTAAGCAACCCTGGAACACAGTGAACCACCCTCCAAAACTGGGAGTTTCCATGAACGGGGGGACCTCTTGTGGTACCTAATATAGTAATAGTCCTTATTATAAGGACTCCCACATTGGGCACGGAATCTCTTTCACCCTAAAGGCTAGACCCTGAATCCCCTAAACCCTAAATCCTAAACCTCTCAATCCTGAACCCTAAACCCCTAAACCCCTAAACCTCAAAATCCTCAATCCTAAACCCCTAAACCCCTCAACCTCTCAATCCT